TGTGGCAGGTGGTGTGTGTGTTTGTGGGTGTGTGTGTGTTGGTGTGTGTGTGGCAGGGGAGGGTTGGCTGGTAGTGTGGTGGTTGAGGTACTGAAGTCCCACATGATTGACGTGGTTCAAGTGCAAGACCTCGAGGCATGGAAATCACAACAAATAAATAAATGATTTTTTTTTAAAGGAAATTTTCAGTGCATTAATATAGGAACAAATCTAGATGTATGTGTATACAGTTTAATTTATATGCACATATAAAAATAGAGAGGAAGTAGGGATAGGAACAGGAGCATGTATGAAGCCTGGGACTTCACAAGACAACACTAGGACTAGGATGAAATCTTTGATGGCTAGTGTTTCATTAAGTTTACTAGAATTTAGAATTAATTGATGCTTTGAAACAAAAACTCAAAGGACATTTTTAATAAATTAGCTAACTATAGTTTTAATTTATTTTCAAATTACAAGTTTATTTTCTCCTTATTAAATGAAAAAGTATTCACTAAAATGAAGGATTTTTTTTCAGTTTAAAACAATCTCCACCAATGGGACATATATTGGCACAGATAAGTAATATACATTAGTTCCTTTTTTTTTCCTCAAGGAAAAGATCATTGTTTTTCTTATATTTTTACTATATAATTAATTAGGTCATTGATTTCAAAGAGACAAGGATGTAATCTTTATGACCAGCAGATGTCACTCTCGTGCAGATTTTATTGAAAGCTGTTATGGGTTTGCCAAATACCTGACTTTAAACATTTCTAGAAAAGATATTAATAACTCAAATAGAATTGGAAAGGCAAAAGGAAATACTGAAGTATCACAGAGATAGTAAATGCAGGGTTCCACTAACATCGTAAGGACGAGGTGGACAAAATAAGAGGTTGGGATTTTGGAAACTTTAGAGAGGGCATCCCTTGAAAATGAGATTTATGTGCCTGAGGATAGTGCCTACTTGATTGGTATGATTGTCTTTGACACTCAAAAGTCTGAAGAATAAGATCAAGCCTACTGATGCTGCCATATACAAGAGGGAATGATAAAGCTGCTTCTAGATGTGTGAAAAAAAC